TGTGTCTTAAATGGAAAGCCCTTTGATCTTGCATACATAATATTTCATCATTTGCTTGCTTGTAAGAGAAAGAAAAAGGTCTCTCTTTATTATGCCATGGTTCTCACTCACATATTCATGGATATGAAAGTTCCGCTAGATAGTTCTGAAGCAGTTAAACCAGGGTCAAGACACATGCTCACTACTTTAAATCTTGCGTCAATGGGGCTAAAAAGGGATTTAAATGGTATGTGGTTCTATCCTAAGCAACGGAGGTTTGAAGAGGTTCGAGATAGAGGAGAAGAAATTGAGGAAGTTGATGATGAGGATGAAGAAGAACATGACAGTGATGACAGTGCTGAAGATGACGATGTTCCAGCTGAAAATTGCACCAATCGTGATCTTTTATTGAAAATTCTCGAAGCTACTCGTCAAAATCAAGCCACTCTTGAAGAACAACAAACCACTCTTGCACAACAGCAAAGACAACTTGACGAAATGCATATGTCAATCACTCATCTTAATGAAGATTTTGAAGCATTTCGCAAAGGAAATAGACCTCCTTCTCCTTAGCACAGTATCACCCCCGTCTAAAACCTATTTTTGTGGTCTCATTTGCTATATCTGCTTTAGAGAATCATATTCTTAGATATGTTCTATTTACTTATGTTATTTCATTTTGAACTCCTTATCATGAACTATGCTTTTATCTACCCATATGGTAGTTGTCTTCTAATTCTCCTTCTGTTTTAACTTCTGCTTTCTATAAAATGCCATATTTGCTATTTAATTGCTCTTTTCTTTATCAATTTTGATATTTCATGCAAAGGTCAGTATTTCCCATTGATAAAGGAAGATTTTTGTTTGATATGACAAAGGGGGAGAAAGATGTGTTCTATGCCATATTGTGTCTATTCTATTGCATTGCTATTTTGATAGACGCACATTGATAGGGGGAAACATATTTTTTTTCAAATATTTGTTGTTGACATGAATTCAAGATATGCTTATTGATAGGGGGAGAATTATTTCAAAATGCAACTCCACCTTGACAATAAACACATCAATGTTTTGTCATCATCAAAAAGGGGGAGATTGTTGGCCTAAGGATTTAATCTAAAGGTCAATCTTATATTTTGATGATTACAAACCATTAATGATGTTTATGTACTAATATTTTCCTTGAGTGCTATATAGTTGATCAATTAATTCAATCCTCAATAATGAGCCAGAAGCATTCCAAGTACTCAAGCAACGGATTCAAGGAAGCATTGAAGTTGCAAGAATTCAAAGATTATTCAAGTACTCCATCAAAGGCTAACCGATCATGGTCAAAGATTGAAGAAAAGGGTAGATTAGATGGTGAGAGCTTAAGATTTAATGTCAAAGTTAATTTGAATATATTTGAAGCTCAAAATTCAATCCATGCATTGCATTCCCATTTTATTTCTCAAAGAAAATAAAATCAGCTCATGATCACATTCACAGGACTTAAAGAATTTCATATTAAGTATCATAATGTGAGATGGAGAAGGCTCCATAAAATAAAGAGAAGGCTCTTTTCTCTTATTCAGTGAGCTCTGAGAAGGTTCTTTTCTTTAACTCCAGTAAGTCTTTGAGAAGTATTTAAGAAAAAGAGAGGGCTCAATCAAAAGAAAGAGAGGGCTCTTTTTGTTCCAAGAAAGCTACGAAAATGGATCTTCAAAATAAAGAGCAGGCTCACGTTTTTATTGAGCAGGCTCTTTCCAAGGAAAATGAACAAAGAGCAGGCTCTTTGGCTTTCAAGAGACGGCTCTCTTTAGGGTTTTGAACTATAACGTAAACATTTTCATTAAATGTTCTCAACAACCTCTAACAGCTATATTGAACTCTGTTGTTTCTATAAATACTGAGGTTGGTCTTCAAACTAAAAAACTTTTTTCACAGAGAACATTCTATCATTCCTTGAAAAGCATTAAAGAAGTATTCTGAGCTTTCATTCCTTCTCTGTTATTTCATATCACTGTAGTAATTCTGAGCTTCACGTATATTCATCTTTTCTATAGTTGTGAGATAAACTCTGTAATCTATCTTTGAGAGATTCTTGTACACTTGTTTCTTCAAACTTCAAAGCTATTGTAAAGGGTTGGTGTAACCCAAAAGAAAGCCTAGGAGAAGGGTGTTCTCCTAGCAAAGAAGAGAAGCAAGATCTTGTTTCAAAAGTGAAGGTTTGCTCTCCACCATTAAGGAGTAGCTCTAGTGAATTTGGGAAGTCTCAAGGGGGATCTTGAGCCGAGGAGTAGGAGTTTCCGAACCTCGCTAAATCACCGAGTCATTGTTTGCAATCTCTTATCTCTATCTCTCTTATTTTTGTGCTTTATTTTGCTTGAATATTTCAATAAACTAATATTTAACAGTTTGGTAGAAATATAATTTTTAAATTGAAAAAATTGATCCTTGACTCTATTCACCCCCCTCTAGAGTCAATTAGTGACTAACACATTGCAATGCCCATCAAGTCCCCAAAATATCTTCCTAATTATATAGATACACATATATGTATATATATGGGAATAGTCCATAATGCCTCTCATCTAAAATGAGAAAACAGGGAGAGGTTCTCGAGCTCGAAAATCGTCCCGACTTCTGAAAAATTTCACTCCTAATTGACTTAAAACAATTAAAAATACATTTCTAAAACCCTCGGCTTGAAAAATGACCGAAACGGCCCTTGGGGCCCGCAAAACAAGGCACGAAAAATAATAAAATAAAAATTCCAAAAAAATCGGAGACATTACAGTACCGAACAAATTCCACTGTGAAAAAAATGAAGGATTACAATGGAGAATTTCCTCTCAATCTCTTTCACGCTGTCTCTATTGTGTACTCACAAATCAATTTAACAATTGAAGCTCTCACCCTAAAATTTGGTTAAGGTTCATATAAATAGTCCCTGTTAAAGGAAACCAACTTGCCCCACAAACAAGTCTATCTAAAAGAAAAAAAAAATTGGGAATTTATATTACATTCAAAAAGTGGCTCAACACTATCAATTACAGGAACAAACAGGGAATGAAAAAAAAAATACCCAGAAAGAAAAGGAAAAGGACCAGCAGAAGTTTGCATAAATTGGGGAAGCAAAGTTCAAACAGTGAAGCAAGAAGAAGGTAAGTGACAATCGCCCCAACCTTGTAGTTTTGTTGTGACTATCTAACTATTTTATATTTTAGTGTCAAGCATTGTATCTTGATGATGTAACAGTTGCTAGGGACCGTAGGTGTTTTGAGAAAGTCATGGTTGAAGTTGATGTGCACGACGAATTTCCTGAGAGTCCAAATTTCTGTGCATGGGAAGGTACGTATGTGAAGTAAATGTTGAATGTGATTCAAAACAAAAAATTTGCAAGAAATGTCACGCTGTTGATCATGATGAGACTAAATGCCCTTTGAAACAGATAAAGAAAGATACGTCCACTGAATGGTGGTGAAGCAGAAAGGCAAGTGAATCCCAGCAGGTGAGTGTAATCCAACCAAAGACACAGAATATGAAGCTGTTGTTGGTGGTGAGGAAAGTCATAGAGATACACTAGCGGTCAGGTGTGAGGAGGAAACTAGAGTCTAGGGTTGCAGAAGACAGGTCCATCATCCAAATTAACAGTACATCAGAGGATAATATGAGTGTCACTTCTGTAGAACTGGAAGGTCATCGGAACATGAGCAAGCAGGAAGAAGGAATGGTGAATGTGGTTGAGAATGTGTCCCATAGTGATAAGACTTATGTTTACTGCTCCTAATCTTTCTTATCATTGGGGATAATGTGCGCATATTCCAATTGATATGTAATGGCCCCAGACCTTTCAGATTTTTGAAAGCGTGGTCTGAACAACCCTCGGTTCTTGAAGTTGTTACTGAAGCTTGGCATTCCAATGTGGATAAAAATCCTATCCAGAAAATATTCAGAAGTTGAAGCTGGTGAAGTCTAGTATGAAGCACTAAAATGCTCATAAATTTGGTTCTATCTTTGAAGATGTCTCTAAAGTCTAAAGCAAGGAATTAGCTCGAAGAATGTCAACAAAGGCTTCTTGTTGATACCTTTAGTGAAGAAGACATTCTTAGAGAGATGGATGCCAGAACTGCTCTTGAATCTGCTACGATTAATGAAGAAATTCTTCTTGCTCAAAAGGGTAGAGTTAAATGGCTCAAGGACCGGGACGGAAATTCTAATTTCTTCTATAAGAAAGTCAGAGGGCACATAAATATTAACAATATCTCTATTTGCAGGATGACAATGGGTGTCTTATCCATCATCAACATACTATCCAGGATCTTATTGTGAATTATTACAGTAATTTATTTTCTGGTAGCACATCTAACATTTCTACTCTCAAACCTATACCTCAATGCAATGTGCTCTATAAAGTAATTACCGAGCCGATGGTTGCTAGACTTGCTTTGGTGATTTGGTGTCAAGGATCTCAAAAAGGCATATGGTTCCGTCCATTGGCCTTTCGTGGCACCTAGTTGAGTCTTTTGGTTTTGGTTAGAGGTGAATTGCCTGAGTTAAAAGAATGTATTACTTCTGCTTGGTTCTCAGTTCATATGGATTTTTTCAAGCCGGTAGAGGACTAAGACAAGACTGTCCACCCCTACAAGAAATTAGGGTTTTAGTGACGGAGCACCAAAACTGCACCGAAAAGTTGAATTCGTCCATCACTAATAGTGGCGTCACAAAAGATCTTCAGGGACAGTTAAAAATGACCACCCAAAAACTACAATCCCAAATAGCACCATTGCTAAAAGTTAAGCTAACGGACAATATGTACCATCCCCACACTTTATTTTTATTAAATTTTTGACGGCTAGAAACCGTCGCTAATACTTTAATTTTTTTCTTCTTGTGGCTCTGTCCAATTTGTATTTTTATATTTTAAGTTTTTTTTAAAAGAAAAAGTATTAATATAAAAAATAACTGCATTTTGAGAGTAAGCTAACTGCACCCTATATAGATTGACATCAAAATCATATGACACGCATAACATAAAAATCAGCTTTAAACCAAGTCTAACAAATAGCCATCAAAACAAAAATATGTCCAAAATATAATTTCGGAATGAAAATGACATAATCATCATGAAACCATGCCAACAAACGAGCTCTTAATCTCATAATGAAACTACAAAATCTCTAGGCTTTTTAAATAAAAACTAAAAATACCTTCTAGCAACTTTTAACATCAGATTGTTCCAACATGCTCAAAAATTAAAACACCATTTTAAAACCAAATGCAAAGTCATCAAAATGCAACCCAACACAATCTTTAGCACAAAGATAAAGAGACTAGAAATCAGCTAGTCATCCTAAAGCTCCAAAATTATGTACCAAAAAAGGTCTCTTTATCATATTACTCATTTAGGTGGTGGTTGTGATGGTGCTCGTGGGTGGTGCTGATATTGCCACCATGTTGGTGGCGGCGGCTGATACCAGCTTGGCGGGGCCTGCTGCTGTTGGGAATCTGATGGAGACCATTGATATTGGAGGAACCATGGTGGCGGCTGCTGCAGTTGCTGCTGAAGCATCTTCTCATTTTATCCAACTTTTCCAGCAATTTTGTTACTTCCTCCGCCGGTTGTAAACTTCTTTCCTCAGCCACTTTTACCCTTTTCCTAGATGAGGATGCACGTTGACGGTTTGTGACCACAAAACCATGTTCGATACCTAGCTGGTTTTGCACTATCTCAACATCATTTTTGATTGGACTGGCACCATCAGAATTTTGAGAAACTTGTGAAGACTTGTCCATCATTTCATCATGCAATTAAGATTAAACTTGAGTCTTAGAATTGAGATAAACGTAATATGCCCTACTATTCACTAATAAATATTTAAGTTCACCATATAATTGAAAGCTATAAATGAAAGTATAAGCTAGGAAGCTAGAACACAGACAAGTAAGAAAGGTATAGGGCAGACTAGAGTATTCTTGGAAGTAAAAAATTATTCTAATGCATGCTAACAAATGCAGCAAAAAAACACACAAACACACAAAAAAGAAAAAAAAAAAAAAAACTAATAAATATATATTGCAGCAAACACACAAAAAATATTTCAGTTCACCTCTATTACATTCTGTTTTGTTTTGGGCTATGACTATAGCAGCAAACAAAAAATAATAATAATAATAGAAAAAAAATTCAACTGTTTGGTCATATATAATAACAAACACACATATTAACAAACATCATTCTCCTGATATTTTTAACACTACTAGAATGGAATTTTCATATATATATATATGTGTGTGTGTGTGTGTAAGTATATATTTGAGTAAACATTGATCTACCTAATTCAGTCCTTCACAGGTCTCAATTCACCAAGCCGCACGCGCCATGAAACTGAATCAGCGGTGGAATCAGAGAAGAGTCCATCTCTTTAGGCTTGAGCCAATTAAACATTAAAACTAACTATTAATGGTCAAAAAGCACCACCCAAGTGTCAAAATCACTTCACTAATTCATATTGGTTTTAAGGCATTTAAAGGACAATGATCCGAGTCAAGTAGATGATGTCTTGTGCTCTAATAGGTCATATGATAGTACCTATTTATATATACACAGTTACACATATAGGTAAAATTAAGCTGCCTCACTCTCTCTTTAATTTCTGGGTGATATACTTTTATTAATTCCATATTTTGTTCCTCTCTCTCTCTCTGTTGGTGATATATTACTATTCCACAACTGGCATTATAAGCATATATAACTTTATAGTTGACTAAGATTAAATGAGTCGTTTAAGGCATTTTTAGAGTTTAACTTACATAATTCCGCTTAGCTTTCTCATGTGCCCTTCCAATTTGTTCCTTAAAATGTGTGTCCTTGCACAAGCGAATAGCAAGACCCACATGACTTTCAGCTTCCTCATATTCTTTGCTCTGCCTTTCCTTGGGCTGCAATACAAAGTAATAGTTAGCATTGGACAAATATATGGTTTAGATAAATAATAAATTGAAATTTTATAATTATTGTTTCATATATTACATACATAACCATCATAATGTCTGGTGAAGGAGATCGATCCGGAATAATGTGGAGCCTCATTCTTCGAAAGGTTTACTTTATTTTTTTCACTTACTTCCTACATAGTAATTCAAACAATAACATTATTATTGCTTTGACGAACCTCCCCGTGATATGTCCAATTGGTATACCCCTTGCCCATCCCATTACTCAAGAGATGCTCCTCAACTTCTTTAATTTGAAGATACGTCTTGTTTTTGCAACGACGACACGGACATCGGGACCTACCGACTTCATCTGCATGACAACTAGCCACCTTAATGAAGTTTTGTATGCCATCAAAATACTTTCGACTACCCCTAGTATGATGATGAATCCAAGACTTATCCATATCACTGGCTATTAAAAAATAAAAAATAAAAAAAAAATAGGAAAAAAGGTTATCAATTATAAACAGAAGTCATTTGATGCATATGTTGAATATTTCATAACAACTCTTTCAACTTCTTCCATGATGGGTGGGTGGTCCTATCTCATTCAAGAATACAAAATCCTCATTACCATCAATTGCTCTACTGCCATGTATTTCATTTCTGGGTAATTTGGTGTCTATGTATGCAATGATTTATACATGTCTCAAACAACAACCCTTCTATGCATCTATCTGCTCATGTATTTGAAGAGACTAAAAAACATAAGATTTGTTTGTGATGAACACTTTTACTTTACCATCAACAGAGTTAAACCAATCAGAACAACAAGTCAAGAAGAGAAGCATCACAAAGTCACAAACTGAATTGTCATATTAAATTACTTCTTTATTAGAAGAGAGTTAACCAATAATAAAAACTTCCTTTTTTTTCTTTTTCTGCCCAAATTAATTCATAGAAACAAATATGTTTGTTTCGAGAACATAGGAACAAATCCATATATCCAATTCCAAAACTAAATAGTCCAGCTGTCCATGAAACCAAAAAAAAAAAATTAAAAATAAAACAGCTTATGGAGAAAGAAGAGCAACAATAAAGTAAACTAAACAGCATTATAAAGAAAACAGATCATCGAAAAAGAAAAAGGGAAAAAAAAGAAGAAGAAGAAGAAGAAGGAAAGAAATATAGAGAAACAAACATATGTGATGGATTCATACTATCTGCACTAAAGAGATCTGTCTGCGCAAAACAAATAATATTACCAAAGAGATCTATCTATGCAAAAATAATAAAATTACTAAACAAATAAGGTTGCAACCATTGTAACCAATCAGTCTAGTTGATCAACTAATCATAGTTTGGAAGTTTGAAGTAATAATTGCATTTAAATTTTTCATTCCCGATGTTAAAACGAATGGGTAATTACAGTGTTGTTCCCAATGTCAAGGCAATTGGGAGCCATAGACTAGATACGAACCTAACCTTTGGCATTATTTTCACAGTAAAGGAATAACTTCCTCTGAAATTGGTGTGTAAGGCCAGATGAATTTAGATATATCGGTAAAATAATATATTACCAAAAAATTAAAAATAAAAATCAAATGCTTGAAGCTTCTATTAAACCCTCAATATTTACAGTATTAAGCTAAAATCCTACTTTTTAAGCTATATTTAAAATAATATGAAAGAAAGAAATTAAATAAATAAATACTCCGTATAACCGTAAGAAAAAAAAAAAAGTAAAGAAGAAATACTAGGATTGTTGCAATATAATAAATCTTTATTAAGGAAATAATGAGCAAACTACAAGCATAAATACTATGCTAAAAAGAAGCAGCACTGTAGAAACAGGAGTAAAAAACACTATAGTTGACACAAGATACTACTGAAGAGTGAAGGTCTGCCAATTCAACTTTTTACTAAAGCAAACAGAATAATCTTCCATCTATCTGTTGTTGCCAACAACTGTGGCAATCGTTAAATATTAAATTGCTTAATAATATAGTTGGGAAAAAAAAAAAAAAAAACAACAACAACAACCACAACATAACTCCTACTAGAAATATCTATATATTATATGATAGTTACAAACCAAATAAATAAACTCATGTTACATGAGAAAAATTTATAACAAACATAATTATAAACCTTTAATACAAGAAATATGTAAGATTCAGAATTTAAATTTGGAAACAAAAACATTTTATCAAAAAAGACTACTAATAGAAATACAGATCCAGAATATCATACACAGGGTAATTTAATTGTATAGTCTGTAAATAGAAGCCACAATCCTGACTCAGAATAAGCCAAAAATTAGCTTCTCCACTAGTCTACCACAAACTAATTCTGGATAACAAAACAACCAAAAATAATTCAAAATATGCAACCAGGCACTTTTCATGAAGTCATAGCAATTTGAGAAACATAAAAATGCCCAAAAAAAAGATATACCTTCAAAACAGTCACAATTCTCAGCCTCCTTTCTCACAAAATTAAGAACAGCATCAATGAGCAGCGTTGATTTGGCGGCATACAGTCCTAAGAAGAAAAAAAAAATCACTAGCAGAAAACCTAACTTTTTGTAATTGTAAACTAAAAAGAAAAAAAAAATAAAAAAATAAAACAAGAATAATGACCAAAAACACTTTTCGGCATAATCTAATTTTCATAATTATTAAACAAAAATCACTCTCGGAGTGTGTGCTTGTGTGTGTTTGTATTTCTGAGATATATATATATATATATATATAGCAATGGACCAAAACTACGCCGTTTCTATATTTTAACGGTCCCAAAAACCCATTTTTATATTTTATTTTTATTAAAAAAAAAAATTCTCATTTCATTTGAAGCATTGGCGCTAAATTTTCCCGCCAACAACTTTTTTGTGAGGATTTTTTTGGCATTCAAAAGGAATGACTTTAGGGACGGTTACTGCCTTGTCCTAAAAGACCGTCACCAATACCCTTGTAGTGAAATTAACGTACCCCTATGCCACTATCCTCTATGCTTTTCACACTGGTCACAAAATACTTGTCTGAAATTTTTGAAGATGAATCTCTCAATGGCAATCTAATTCTTTCTGCTTCAAGAGCTGAGGTTTCCATCAACCAACAATTCTTTTGTAGACGATCTATTGATGGTGGTGAGAGCCAATCTTGAATCTGTTTTTACAGAGAATTACAAAACACTTTCAGGACGTGTCAGATCTTTCTGTAAGTACGGAGAAATCTAAAGTTTTCTTAATAAGGTATGCAAGAGGAAAAAGACTATTATGAGGGCACTGGGGGTAAGAAAGGGAATCTACCATTAGAGGCCTGAGAATGGTTGATTGTAGACAGCTAGTGGACAAAGTGGTAGATGCAAATCAATTAACTTGTCATTGGCTGGTATATTGGAATTAGTCAAAGGTGTGATTGTCTCTCTGGTTCATTACTGGGCATCTGTGTTTACCATTCTAGTTGCTGTGATCAAATCTCATTGTAAGGAGAGTCAGAAATTTCATTTGGGGTCATGATGATCAGATGATCACTCCAAGAAACTACATTATCTGAGCTGGAAGAGGCATGCACCAAGAAAAAAAGGGGATCTTGGTCGTAGAAGATTTGGGGACGTGGACATAGCCGCTAAATGTGTTACGGTCTAGGATTTCGTACAGTGAAAAGACAGAATATGGGTAGCATGGTACAATAACCTCAACTTGAGAGGCTTCACATACTGGCGTATAGTTCCATGATTATCCCAATCCAGAATTATTGTTTCTATGAGGGATGTAATGAAAAAACATTACAGATTCGGAATTGGGGATGGTAGCAACATCAAGATATTGTTGGATCCATGGTGCAATTTTCATTTTTTGTTTGAGCACTTTAACCACGGAATGTTGAAGTACTTGAGGGTACGTAGAATGTCTACTGTTAGTGATTTAATCAGAGACCAACGACGGGGTTGTACTAAATTTGATTATGACACCTCTGATGTTCTAACCTTTTTGAGGACCATGAGAATCTATGGAGGACTGGACCAGATTCAGTGGGAAGATGGAAATTTTGGTTTCAAGAAGGCATAGGGAGCTTGTAGAGTGGTTAGACAAAGGGTAGATTAGTTTAGCATTTGCTGGACAGGTGGAAGAGTGAGATGGTCTGTGTATACTACTCTTGTATCTTACAGAACTCAGTCCTGATCTGGTCCAATTTACATAGGAGAGGCATTGTTATGGCCTCTATTTTCTACAACTGCTTCAGTGAGGAAGAAAATGTTGATCATTTATTTGTGACATGTACTTTTGCTTGGGAATTCTGGTCTTGCTTGGGATTTTTATTACATTAGCATCTGCAGGACCAATCTTCTATCCAGAGCCTGGCTCATAATTTTGCTAATAAGTTCAACTTAAGAAGCCCAAAGAATAAAGTGTCTTGAATGCTCTTCTTCTCTGTTGGCTTGTACCACATCTGCAGAGAGGGGAATGGGAGATTACATGGCACTCCTCCTAAAGATCCTATAGGTATTGCTAGAACATGCCCATGGGAGGTTTTAGGGGTGCTGGGGATACACCTTCAATACTTGAAATAGTTTATTTTGCTGTTGTTTTATGTAACAAGGTCTAGCCTTGCTTGATTTTTTGGGCCCAAATTTTTTGCTTAAATTAAATTCACAATAAAAAGTAAATTAAACAACCTATAAAGCAAAAATAAATGCAATTAAACTAAAGTTAGAGAGACACCAGATTTTTAGCGAGGAAACCCAAATGGAAAAATCTTGAGGACTTTTACGTTGTCTCAAGCAAAACGATTCACTATGTATGAAGCAGAGTACAATGGAAAAATCTTGAGGACTTTTACGTTGTCTCAAGCAAAAATGGTCATTATGCACCTTACTACATGTTATGAGTTATAATGATGGCATACCAATTGTTTTCTAACCTAAAACTCTCGATTCAAGAAATTGACCTAAATGGCTCTCAGGGCTTGCGTGGCACGCAAAACAAGACACGAAAAATAAATAAAATAAAATTTCAAAAAAATCTAGAAAAATTCGGGACACTATAATCTACCCTCCTTAAAGAGATTTTGTTTTTGAAATCTACCCTCCTCAAGAAGGAGACCCACAACCGTTCCCCTTCCCGGAGAACATCTCACAAAACCCGCAAGACTATGAACTCACAGCCTTATTGCCCTTGACACCGGATGTCAATAGACAATCACGCACTACTGCCACTAACAACACAATGTTCACCACCCTATGTGGGTACTCATCACACAACATCCTACCATGTATACCACTAGATTCTATACCTGGCTTAAAACCGACACCGGCACACTTTATACGTCAACACAAGGCTCCGAAGCCCACAAAGAAACGGTCGCTAGACCAATGGATTATAATGACATCCAACCTCAACTCATCCTTTAAAAGATACACGAAACTCGAGGCAAAGGAATCCCAACTGCTAATTATCAAGTCCCAGATCTAGATCGATACATTCCCGACAACCATTCCTATGCTACCTAATACGTAGCTACACCACTAAATAACCGAACAAGTGATTACCAATCACAACCTCTAGCTTCATTATCCTTAACATCTCCCAAGATGTCTAAATGGTAAATCTTCCAATGACTACATATGAGTCACTCGATCACAAAGCGTACTGTAATGTTTCTGTTTTTCGCCATTTTCTATTTTCTGAAATTTTCTGATTTTTTTAAAAGGGTATTTTCGTCTTTTCTCATTTTGCGTACCGAACGCTGTGGGGTGTGCTGGATGTGTAAGTGGGTTGATTGGGACATTTCCTTGAGTTCAGGACTCTTGGGAATGTATTAGTTGCCATTTCGGCATTTTTCTATTTTTTAAGCCAGAAGGTCCTAGGTGGGACCCGCTTTTGAGATTGTTGTGTACAGGGGTTGTGTCTCGGGTCCATTGCATTTCATGCATTGTTATAACTCATGGTTGTATGAAAGATTGTGTAGTTGTAAATTAATTTGTATGTATATAAATGTGTGTATATATATCAAAAATGAAAGAAAGATTTTTTTTTTTTTTTTTTTTCTCTTGGGACCCATCATATCAACTCTTTTAATGACCTTAAAGCCATTTTTGGTTCATCAGACTTCCATTTTATCTCTCTCACGCATAGGCTCTCTCTCTCATTCCTTCTTTCTTTATTTTCTTTTCTACACTAATACAAGGCTAGATATCTCTCTCACCTTTTAGAATTTACTATTACTACTTAAGGCAAAGTCGAAGAGCTCGTTAAAGCCTTCGTTTTGATCAGAGCCGATTTTTGATTTGGTGTCCTTGGGATTTTCAAAATTAGGGCTTGGAATTGGGGCTTTTTGCATCCTTTTGAGGTAGGGGTTTTTAAGATCCAATCTTTTTGATATTTTGTGAATTACTTCTCAATACTTGGTGTATAGCATGCTTAATTTGTGACAACTTCTTGAAATATGATTTCTATGTTTGTACGAAAATGTGTAAAGCTTTGTATTACTTGTTGTGTTGTGATGATATATGCTTCTATGATGTTAATCCACACTTTACTTATTTAAATATCATGAATGATGTGTTGAATACTTGAGAAGTTATTATGTTGATCATTATTCAAAGTATGCTATATACTTGAGGGTTACAATGTATGGATTTCATAGCATTTACATGGCATTGGGAAGGAAAAAAGGGAAATTGATTAGAAAATTATAAAAAAATGGTTTTGGGAAAAAGTTTTTGAAAAGAGGTTTCTAAAAACTCGGTCGCCTAGAAGTTATCTAGGGTCTGTGGCGTTAGTGTGACTTAGAGGGAACTAGGGAGACTGCCCTAGCATGGTTGAGTTACCTGGGCCCAAATGACGCCTTGGAATTGTCATGGGTCAAGGACAGTTAGCCAATCCTTCTCTCTTGCCCCCATGGAGTTGCCATAGGACGGGTTACATTAACGGTTTGGAAATAATAATGAAAAAGATTTTAGAAATGGGGAGTGACATTGCACGTCATTGCATTCCATAGCCCGGCATGGCTTGCTCATGACTTTGAC